AACATTATGTAATTTATTTATATAATAATCTTAATAAAGGATCACTGGCAAGGTTGCCAAAGATTAAAAAAAAAAAATATATATATATATATATATATAAATTGATATTAATCGCAAATAAAGTTTATTTGTTATACAGATGAAGTTATATAAACAATTAATTGTTTAACTTTACTATTCTTATATATTTATCAAGATTTAACTACTTGATTCTTCTATCTTACTTTCTGATTGACCTTCAAGCTAGCTTTCTTATTGGCTTTTTATCTAGTAATTATAGTTATTTTTGTTACCAAGTTAATTATCTATTCTTGTTTTATTATTGTCTTCAATATCTTCATTGTTTCTAACATCTTCATTATTTCTAATATCTTCGTCATCTCTAATACCTTCATCATCTTCAACATTTTTGCCATTTTCAACATATTCGTCATCTCTAATACCTTTGTTGTCTCTAACACCTTTGTTGTCTATTTTTATTTCATCACTTCTAAGTTGTTTATTTTTTATTTCTATTGCTGGCTGGTCTTCATTTTGTTAGTATTCTTGTTCTATTTGAATTTTCTGCTCTCTTTTTCTTTCTTCAGCTATTTGCTATAGAAGTTTTTCAATAGTATTATTATAAACTTTTATATGATTTCGAAGTGAAGCTCTATGAGAAAATGTTCTTTTACACTTTGTACAGTATATTGAAACTTCATTGTTTTAAAAAAAAGGTATCTGTATGTAATATTTGTAATAACTTAGAGTTAAATATGATTCTAATCATAATTTTGATTTAATACATATTATTATATATCAATTATTATAAAACTAACATAATTACAGCACTATTTTTGTTGGACAAAAAAAATACTGGTTTAATAGTATGAAATATTTTAAAAAAGTTATATTCTAATATTTAATGCACAGATACAAGTTATATTGTTTAACAAATCAACTCGTCTAAAAATGATTACAAATTATAATAATTATTACAAAAGTCGATTAGACTGAAGTTGATAAAAATGTAAACTACTATATTGGTAAAAAGTAAATGAAAGGTATGAATTTTTATTGATTAGATATAGTTAATATAGATTTACAAATACAGTATCAATATAGTTGATCTTTTTTTAGAGAATAAATTTAAATTATTCTATCCAATACAATATAAGGAATTTTAATACTATGAATTATAATTTTATTAAATTTTTTTTTTTTTGGTGTTAAGGTGAGATCTTGTCTATAACTTTATTTATTAATAATACTTTTATATGTACTGCTACATTTTTTGTATTATCTATATCAAGTACATTAAGCTTAGACTCAGATCCTATTGGTAATCTACGCTCTGGCCAAAACCATTACTTGCGTGATAGGTGTCTCCATCTGCTACTGGCTACTAATCCAATTATCTGTGATCCAAACCTATCAGAGTAGTACGTCATCATCAACCTACTCATCTGATATTTTATCACCTTTCACAAGTTCTATTTTAGTACACTTCTTCATAACTACATTCTTCACATCACTCATACCACTTATACCCAAGCTCCCAAATTTGGTAATCCTTTTTATAGAAAGGCCTCATAGTCTAATTAGGCTATTTCCAATCTTGGTGAATTTCAGCTAGTCTGCTTAGATGAGTTCTATCAGTAAGTTTCATGCTAACCCAGGTTAAGCCTCCATTAATAGCATCTAGTTTAGTTAGTATGCTTGCTAATCTCTGTTACTACATTGGGTAAATACTTCTGTATGTTGGTGCAAGTTTGCTATATTGCATTACAAGTTATCTTGTAACTTTCAGATAGCAGTTTTTCGTATTACTTCTCTTCTATAGACTGACAGATTGGATACCATCTAGTAACTATGATGTTCCAATGCCCTAATATTTTAGGTTATAAGACGCTAGAAGTATAGACCTAGTTTGGCTTGTAGTCTGTAATACTTCCAATTAATCTTGGTATCCTTTAATTTTTCTGATATGCAAGCTCTATTCATACAATATACTACTAGCCTGGTAAATCTAGCTATTTCAAGTTATTATCACATACCCAAGTTTCAGCCTATTTACTCTGTTGTTATGAGATCTTTCCTTAATAGACCAAGTAGCTTGAAGCCAAAGGTGCTTCTGATTCCAGTTAAGCCAATTCTTTTCCACAGATCATTCTCGTATTCTTCACTTTTCTTACTACTCCAGTTATATTACTGTCATATCATACTCCCAAACAAGTACCCCACAAGTTAGATGCAGAGATGTTAGTACTACCTCAGTCAGCCCTAATCAAGGACTAATATGTATAAACTTTATATAACAGAACCTTCTATGACTTGGTGTTATATGTAGTGCTACCATTTCATGATTGGATCTCCTTCTAGGAATTCCTTTTTCTAGTTTTATACTTGCACTTAAACTTAATTACAGGGCTTCACATTCGATTATAGCCCTCTTTTAAGTTACAGAAGCAAAAAATCCTAAGATTTTCCTCTAGCCCAACTCAAACTGTTAACTTAATTTGTGGGGTTTGGCAGCTTAACCACTAAGCTATAAGGCCCAAACCTGTTTTAATTCTATTAATATGTAATTAAATAAATATTAATCTATATCTTTTTGTATATATTAGTCATATTTCATATTACTTATTATTTCTGATATTTGTAATTACTTATACATCTCAGAGCTGATAACAATTTCATCATATTTTTATAACAAAGATTTTTGTAATATAAAGACAGTTCTAAAAACTATACAGTATTGATTAATTTAGATGTATTATACTTTGACTAGTAATAAAATATAGTATCATTAAGTAATTGTCTATAGTAAATAAAATTTTAAATTATTTACTTAATTTTATGCAAGTTTTTCGTTACATTAATGAATCTCTATTGTAAGATAATATTATTATCAATTTGATTATTTAATGCATCAGTTAATATATCTATTATTATATATCATATAATTCACGCAATTCAAATACTAATATTACTATATAAATTTTATATAAATAAATAAGTAAATAAAACATATATGTGAACCAACTCTTCCTGACGATCACTCGTACCAAACTTACGGCAAACGAAAACAGAAACTTGTTGGAGAAAAGTAGAAGAGACAACTACAAATA